GAGAGCTATCCTTCAATAGATGTTTTTCATCAGTGGAACAGGGGGCATTTGGGAGAGCTTTTTTTTTTTTTTTTTTAATAAAATCATCCTATCTTTCAATAACTCTGGATCACGTCAAGGAATTTAAGTTTAGCAGTTGGCCTAATCCTAACAAGGGGGTTCAAATGTGCATGGATGCTAGTGTAAGCATTCTCTGGCTCTCGGGGAAATTAAACAGTCCCCATAGTTTAAAAAGTGAGAGGTTACTGTGTTCAATACATACTTCTTGTATCAAAAAGCAGCTGCGTAATAGGGAGTCCAGATTTTTGAAAGTGAAAACTTATTTAACGTATTTTAGAAATTGTGGTGTGGATTTCCCTGGTCTCAAGCACAGTGGTAGGGGTTGGGAAGGGGTGATATTAGAGTGCAGCTTGCTCACGCTTGAGCTGTTGTATCGGTTAGAGATGCCTTAGCTTCTCCAGGTCTTAGCTCTTCCATGCCGGGACTGGATTGGAGGAGGCTTCTCTGTAGACTTAATGGGAGCCAGGACAAAGGAGAGAGGATCATGGGAGAGCCCTACACGTGTGTCTTGTCTGGGGATAACCCACTTTGGCAACTTCTAAAGATGACACTCTATTTGGATGGCACAGGTTTTCTGCCTGGGGGGGTAGAGCTGGAAGGAGAGGGAACCTATATCAGCTCCAAGATCATTGCCATCCTGACCCCTCCCTGCAAAGGAGGACTGTGCGTGAGTAGCTGAAAGTCCAGAGGGGGGACCTGACGGGTGTGTGAATGGAGCCAGTCCCAGTGTTCATTGCGTGTCACCTTCACCTTCAATCTTTACATGCACAACACACCCCCCCCTCTAAATACTCAGCCAAATTTCTTGAAATGAAAGTCTGTCTATCTGCCAAGGCTTCATTTTTCTTAATGCTTTTGTTCCCAGTGGTGATTCTTGGAAGAGAGACCCATTTTCGGTGTACACAGTGTAGCATGAGGGGCTGGTGAATGGCCACTGAGGGGAGAGGAACTGATCCTAGAATTAGACTGAGCCTCTGCTTCTTATAGGCGGGAACACTTTTACGCAGTTTTACTTGACCCAAAAAAATGGTAGAGCTATAATTGGAATCAGTCTCTCATTCCATATCCCTACCACTCCTTGCATTGCCATCTTTCTTCACACTATCGTGCTTGATAAGTGATAGTTTTTATTATTATTTGCAAGAGTAAGTGAATGTAATGAAGTACGTGTGTGTGTGTGTGTGTGTGTGTGTGTGTGTGTGTAGGGTTGTCGGGAAAGTCATGATGCATTTTTGCAATGAAAAACATAGAAAAACATGTCATGACTTTTCCGACAACCCAATACATACACACACATGGACATCTCGTGGATTCTTGGCACAGATTTTTTTTAAGATTGAAAGAGCGAAGATCTTTAGAGAGAGATCAGAGTAGAGAAAAGTACTGGAATTTGGCTATAAGCAAGGATAATTTACATAGAATCATGAGGACAATTAGAGAGAAGGAAGTTCCCCTTCAATCACTCAGAGTTCCCACTGACCACCAGGCACTTGAGCTGCTGAGACCAACAGGATGGAAATGTCCCCTGTGCTCAAGGGCCTCACAGTCTTGTAGGGGCGACAGGCATTAAAAACTAAACAATGTTTATGTCCAGTGCAGAGAGAGACGTGGTGTTTGAATGCATTTAATAGGGAAGAGGGTGGGCTGACCTGGTGGGTTCAGGATAGGGATGTAGTCAGAGAAGGCTTTCTGCAGGAAGTGGCTTCTCACATAAGATCTGGAGGACACATTGGGGCCAGTAGGGACCATTTGTAGAAAGACATTCAAGAAGGAACAATAAAAGACAAAGGAGGCATGAGGCCTTTTAGGGGACAGAGTTGACTTTTCTTGTTCGGCTCCCTGCCATTCGTGCACTGCCTTGCGCCATGTGACACTGCAGTGGATGGTATTTCAGTATGACTTTCCAGTCCCCAAGAATATCCACAAAGGAGCATTTTACAAAAGCACAGCACGGCTCCGTTTCACCGGAACATATTTTCATCAGACATCACTGTGTGAGACCAGCCCCACAGTGGGCATTTCCGCTCACTGTGCTTGCATAACACGGGGCTATTTTCCTCTGCCTCCATCATGTGCAGAGAAAAGGGCGGGTGGAACCTTTGGTTCCAATACTTATGCTCTTGGTTTCTGAGTCAAATGGACTTTAGAGTCTGATAGTCTGATCTTGCTGGCATAGGCTACAGGTCAGCCTCTGTCTAAGGTGGTCTGGAGGGAAGCATTTCCCAGGCTATATTCTGAGATATCAGTATGGGTTTTATATGAAAAAAGTGTTGGGGTTAAATAAACTGGGAAAACACTGAGTTAAACAGGTAGCATTTTAAATTGTAGAACATTTCAGTGCTTTATCATGTGTATTAGTTCCCTAGAGAAATAGAGCCAATAGGGTGTGTGTGTGTGTGTGTGTGTGTGTGTGTGTGTGTGTGTCTGGATGTAGGGGTATTCTCTCCCCCTCATATGCATATGTATATACATGAGATCTATATATGTGTATATGTGTATGTGTATGTGTACATAGAGTGTATATATACACTTGTATACTTTACTACCACGTATACATATATCATACATGATATATGAGCATATACATATCTATACTCATATCTATCTATATGTCTATGTATCTGTATCTATGTATGTATCTATCCATCTATCTATCATCTGTATGTCTATAATCATCTATAGAGAGATTTATTTTAGGGAGTTGGCTCACATCATTAATTTTAGAGGCTGGCAAGTCCAAAACCTTCAGTGGAGGCCCGCAGGCTGCAGACCCAGAGAGGAGTTTGCAGTTGCAGCTTTCATTGAAGGCAGCCTGTGGGCAGAATTCACCTTCCTCAGGGGAGGTCAGTCCTCCCTTAAGATCTTCAGCTGATTGAACGGGCCCACCCATATTATGGAGAACAACCTATTTTACTCAAAGTCTGCTGATTTAAATGTTAATCTCATCTAATAAATACCTTGACAGCAACATCCAGATGAGTGTTTGACCAGGTATCTGAGTATTGTGACCTCTCTCAGTGGACACATAAAATTAACTCTCACAATATACTCAAGGGCCTTGCAAATCTCTAAAAGAGGAACATTATTATATATCACTTTATCCCAACTTATCTGAGTAAAGAATCCATTATTTGCAGAACACCTATTAACATTTGGTAGAATGCAGTTTGGGGAATATTGATCTCGAATAATGATTCAGTTTTGACTTTCTCCAGATAAAATCGGGCAAAAAAAAAAAAGCATTAAGTGCTTATTGTTTATGTCGTGAGATGAAATCATTAGCTCATATGTATGCTTCTTTATTTTAAAACAGTATCATGCAAATGTAGAATAACCCAATGCTTGTGTTAGATTTACCTTGATGATGGACTGTAAGTAATTTGCGTGCTGAAATTCCATGTACTACGCACACTGCTAGTGAAATGTTCTCACATTAGCAAATTTGGGGGGATATATGTAACATCTGCTTTAGTAATAAGGGTATGGATGATTCATACTTGAGCACAGCGCATACATACCAGAGTAGTTTTGGAAAATTATAGCCTAAATATTCATAAATATTCATTAGTACATACTGTGGGGTTACAAACAACACACAACAAACTAAATTGATAATGATGAACAGAACTAACAGTCATTTGCTATTAAGAAGCAAGAAGGGCAGCAATTAAAACATGTGATCATTCCAGGCAGTTCTGATCATGAATCCGATCCTTCCCCCAAATTGTAGGAGTTAAACTATTTGCATACTCGTAGACGCCCATGAGCGGTAGGAGCCTTGCAGTGTTAGTCAAATACTGAATTAGTAAAATGCTGAATGGCAGCCATGGCTAACCTCTAAAAGGCATTAATTTTAGTTTTAAAACACCAAATTTAGCAAAACATATGTAAGCAGTTATTAATGAGTTCATCTCATTGAGGTATTTAAGAAAAAATTTGGGGATGGGTGGGGCAACCGCTGGGAAGACCTGTTGGCCCCGCAGTGAGCAGTGCTTTGAGAACCACTGCTAGGGGATTAGGCAAACGAAGGAATTTACAAACATATGTAAAACGTAAATTAAATAAATTATTTCTCCATTTCACAGAGCATCATTTTAATAGAAATGTAAATTTCATGGAATAAAATCGATCGCTGTAATATTTACTTTCAAATATACTCAATATATAGGCAATATAAGGACAGCACCCGTACAGATATAAACATTTACTTTCAAATATACTCCATATATAGGGAATATAAAAACGACACTCGTATGAATTTCTATCACATGGTCCCCACTGCATAGTTCAGTTCCCTATTAAATTACATTCCCTTGCCCCCACCATTTAGGACAAATCACATTTCCTTTCTAGCTTCATGTTGGACAACCAAGAAATGGTCCCGATTGTATTCCACGCTCATCTACCTTATCCTCCAACCATCAGAAGGGTAACATTCATTCTGAAATGAAATGGTTGCGCCTCCTAAAATTTCAGCTCAGCTCCCCTCGCCTTTGGCAAGGAGGATATTTGGTGGTTTTTAT